GTTAGAAGCAAAAATAACTGAAGAAAGGCTAGCACAACTAATTTTACACTAATATTATTTGCTAATTTTATTCTGGTTTATGGTAGTAGGATATTAATAAAGCAAAGATTAACAAGGCAAGTAGCAAGGAACAGGGCAGCACTATGGTAATGTATTTATAAATTTAAGGATTGCTTGGATCTTGGTCAACTTGAGAAGAAAAAACATATTAAAAGACAAACCATTCAAAATAAAGCTACCTAACCACAGCAAGCCATTTTGTTACAGCAAAATGACTTGATTGCTATTGATCCATAGCAATTATAAGGTACTTCATGCCCAGACCTCCCCTTGAAATGAAGCAGGGATGTGGTCAGAACACAAAACCAGACTTCAAGAGTTTGAAAATTAATGGATCCACCAGCATAACTGAGCCTTCTTAGCTTTTATCTGCTAAGAAACTTTTTACTGTCAGGACAGTAACAAACCCCAAAGCACATTAAAATGTTTATTTCCTTTTTTGACCTTTGTCAGAAGACAACTCTTGTTAAGTATCCACTTCTTGGCAACTGCCCCCTTCCTTAACTTGCTCTGTCTGCTTCAGTTCTAACAACTTTATATAAACCCAGTCTTAAATCTCTTAAACTTCCTCCCATCTTGCAGCTGTTGCCTGAACTTACCAGCCTACAGTTGCCTTCCACATACATTATTTTACTTTTACAAAGGCTAAAATGGACCTCTTGTGATGGCTAATAACCCTGCAGACAACAGCAGTTTCCCCCGATGTTCATAACTGAAATATCATTCCCCAAAACCACAACACAGGTAATGGAAAACCTGCTACGGAGGTCAGAAGTTGGTTTTATCTTGACTTCAAAGGACTCCTGGCTTTCTTGCTTCCTTCCTGCTGACAGAGTCCCTAAGAAACAACACAACAAATAGTCAGCACCTTTATTTTGCAACCGAGTTAAGCAATGTAAGTCTGTACCTCTGCCACCTCTGTCCAACAGCACAGTCGCTGGGCTCAAGTACAGAAATTGTAACCACTCAATGAGAACTACAAAAGTCCATGTTTTTGTAGCAAGCCCCAAAATTATATGTCAGTCCAAAGTTACCTTGTCATCTAGGAAGTACAGAAACTCTTCCCAATGCTTCAAGTACTTCAGGAAGATCCGTTCATGGATGTGAGTTCAGTCTGTTTGTAACCACATCTGATGGAGCTGGATGGGTGGCAGGGGCAGCATTCGAGACAAAGTTTTGATGCTCTCCGGGCAGAATTCTGTAGCTGGTTTTGCACATCAGGTCACAGTGAGTTCAAGATGACAGAGGCAGGTGGTGGCTCTGGATGCTGCTGTGGGAGGACAGTTTGCATACGAGAAGAGATGATGCTTCAAAAAATACAGAGCTACCTTTTAGATGCTGCAGATAGCATTTTTATTAGATTTAAAAAAAAAAAAATGTTACTAACTTTAAACTACTCTACTTTTACTAAGTGAGTCTCTAAAAAAACCTGCTCTGCTCTCTGCTTCCTCTCTTTGGCTTCCCCGGTCCTAAGCAGTAATCCCCCCCATCCTTCTCCTTGTGGCACCACGATTACACCAAGGTGTAGCAGACTACTATAAGCCAAGCGTTCGGATGCAAAATCTCTCCCTGCCGGAACAACATGGGCTAAGCCCTTCCTCTCCTTTGCAGTTCTGGAGGAGAACACGGCCATGCTCTGTGCTGCTTCTAGCTTTGCAGCCACAGAAGAGCATGATCTCCAAAAGCGCCTGGCGTGTATCTGTATGGTCCCGCCTGGGAGGCTCCAGACCGCTGCTCATCCACCGCAGCTCAGAACGGCCTGCAGACCTGCCCTGGGACTCCTGGAGGCCTTGCAAAACCCACCTTCTGTGAAGGCACGCAGACCCTGCTTGGAGAACTCGCACCCTGAAACACCACTGGTGTGCTGAACTGGCGCTTAGATGCTGCAAAAAAAAAAAAAAAGAACAACTTCATATTGAAGATGTGATGCTGAAAAGAAACAACTGAAATCCTGCGTGGAGTACTTTGGTGCTTGGACTGATAAGCCAGTTCACTGATTTATAACTGTTTATGATTCCTGCTACATTCTCATTTAATGTCTAATTATATTTTGCAGTGTACAAAATACTCCTGCAGAATTAAAGTAAAATAACCATCGGTTAATCAGAAAAGAAAATTAGGTCAACTCCAATTAAGTTATTACGAAGACCAAGGGGAAATGCAGAAATTCGAATTAAAAGTAAATTAAGAAAGAGATATGAAACTCAAACTGCAGAGGCCAACAATAAATTGCTAGTGAAAAAAAAAAGGAAAATACAATCCTGACACATACTCACAAGAGTGTCTGTAAGGAGAGGCACATATTCCCATCCATTCAGTGCTGTTGAGTTCTGACTGGCATTATATGTAGGAAAGAAGAAAAGCAAACAGGAGGCAGCTCAAGTGAGAAGAAGAAAATGAGACAGGTGTAGAACAACGGGTATGTAAGGAAAGGCAGAAATAACTGGATCAGGTTTTTGATTGAGGGCATAAAAAACGGAGACCACTTTCACTGCCAGAAATCTGTGCTGTTTCTGATTTGAATTCTTGTGGCTTTAATTTCTCTCCATTGCTTCTTGTTATGGCTTTTTCCATTAAATTAAAATGCCACTCAGTACCTAATATTTTCTCATTGTAAAGAACCTATAAACTGTAATCACCTTTAAACCGTTTTTAATAAACTAAACAAATAATCTCTTTAAGTACCTTATTTTCAAACCATTGATCATCATCATGCAGCCTATTCCATTTTTGACTTCTCTATCAAAATGTGTAGTAGCATTATATGCAGCATTCCACTAGCTGGTTTAAAATAGTAATTACTGGAGGCAAATTTCCGTTTAATTACTGTTGATTCCTCTCTTTATCCATTTAGGAATGACATGACCCTTTTTCACTTCCGAATCCTCTGGCTTTACACTTTCAGTTGCTGTTCACTGACCTCAATCCTTTAGCTAAATGTTCCAGAACTCAGTTTCTCTGTTTGTAGATCTACATCCATTGCTTTTTGATTTAAGGACTTCACTGTATTAAAATGTGTTTTGTTTCAGTGGGTTAAATACACCATCTCTTCTACTGATTCTGAGTGTGACCTTCAGCCTAACACGGCACACAGCACCTCCTTGAGTTAAACAGAGCATGACTTTTAGAAAAATAACCAATAATGTTTTAAAATGTGCACTAAAGAATCCATAAACAGCTCACAGCCCATAATGAAACTTGTTTTAGGGGACAATTGCTCTTTGCTTTACTGACAGTCTGAAAATCGATAGCTTCAACTTCCACTGGGTCTTGTTACTTGACTGAAATTATCAGGTATATTATTATACACGCATCTGTGATCCAGTAAGTTTTTTCCCCCTGAACTGTGTTTAAAAAAAACCCAGAAAACTGAGAAGGGAACATGGTAACAGACAAGAAGTCGCTTTGTGCTATAGAGTGATCTTTTTATTCTACATAAAGCAAAACCAAAAATATAGGGAACCCCTTACAGTCCTTACTGGTCCCAGTGCCCCAAAAATTCATTGTCTTCCATTCTACATTCTACACAAATCATTATGGATATCTCTTTCGAATGAAGAAACCACCCTCGGCAAAAAATACTCTCAATTTTTCCTCAGAAGAATCAGAGTAACTGAGCCAACAAAACAGAAAACACATACTTTTTGTGGATTACAATTCATTCAGGATACACGCATAGGAAGTTGAATACATTCTGAAATGTAAATAATAGTTGATAAACTAAAAGGCGATAGCGACTCCAGAGAACACTACAGTCAGTGGCAGAGAACAGTAGGAAAGAACACTGGCAGTACAGTGATACAGGCACTTCATGCGTTATGTATGTGAAGAACAGGGTGCAAGACACGTGTGATGTATCACGTGAGACTGTCATACAATGCAGTAAGTATGGAGAACATATTTTCTCTACTCCTTTGGTAATCATAAGGGCAAGTTCTTGCTACTAGAGGTACTTAGATATCCAATTTTTGGATATCTAAAGTCTCATACCCAAGTACATTAATCTTTAAAATATCAAAACATCTTTCTGAGGCTGCCATTCCCAGCAGAAAATCTCCCCTAGGTGATAAAGGAATTTTCAACAGAAAGTTAGTTCCTTAGCCCCAGAGCAAACTTTCTCCTCAATGAGGTTTCTACCGCAATAACCTAATAATATTGTCTTCCATTCTACACAAATCGTTACTGATATCTCTTTTGAATGAAGAAACCACTCCTGGCAAAAAATACTCTCAATTTTACTTTGGAAGAATCAGAGTAACAGTTACACAGCTGGGTACCACAGCAAAGGTCTCTGAACATGTACCACGGCAAGATGGCAGGGTTATTACCACACTCAAGGTAAGAGAGGTAAGAAAGTAAAACAGCCAGGTTGCTGCTTTTAGGAAACCTTTTCAAGTTTATCCTGTTTGTGAGCTGGATAAATTTTAAACATAAGTTTTAAGAGAGATAGAAAAATATTTGTATTCTCTCATTTCCTTTGGGTAAACGATTGCAATGATTGCATGCTGGAACAGCATAGTAATACCTGACATCCCCTTAACAGTCATCTTTGACCGTGTGTCTCTTGCTACGTATTGTTGTCACACATATTTAGGCCCGGGCAACAGTTCGAGGATTGGTGAAAGGTGGTGTTATCTCCCTCGATGCTGAGTGCCCTCTGAGCATCCAAGTCCTCCCGAGGCGGCCATGTCATCGAAGGAGAAGATAAAGAAAGGGGTTCTAGGGGTTTCTCCCGGCCTCTCCTCGCCTCCCCTCACCAGGAGAGAAGCACTCTCCGGCAGAGAGCAAGCCACTCTGCAGCCGGGGCCAAGCCCCCTTCTCCACAGCAGCGTCCACGCAGGGCTCGGAGGACAGAGGCCGCCGTTCCCCACGCTCCTGCTGCAGTAGGTGGATCCCTGGGAGGCGCTAACCCGCTTCCCTCCTCCTCCTCCTCCTCCTCCTCCTCCTCCTCCTCCATCCCTCCCTTCGCGGCTGAGGAGGCGCCTGAGCGCGGCGGCATCTTCCCTTGTCTCGTTGGCGGGAGGAGGAGGAGCCGCCGCCGCCGCTTGGGAGGAAGGTAAGGTCGGGAGGGAGGAAGGGGATCGCCTCCACCTGCCCCCGGCTCCCCGTTCCGCGGAGCAGCGCCCTGCGCGCCGCCCCGCTGAGGGGAGCGGGGGCGGGCGAGGCCGTTACGCGAGGCCCCGGCGGGCGTTCCCGCTCCGCCCCGCCCGCCTCCCGCCCCGCTGCCCGCCGCCTGCGCGGCCCTCCGCTGTGGGGGGGGCCGGGGGGGGGGGGCTTCCCTTCCCGGGGCAGCCACACACACCCACACCCACACACACACACACACCCACACACACACACACACACACCCACACACCCACACACACCCGTGACCGCGGAAGGGGCCGTGGCCTGGTTGGGCGCGCACTGGGCCGGCGTGTGATGGCGCGTTTCCCCCCCCCCCCCCTTCGGTTGCGTTTCCCAGGGCACCTGGTTGGTAAATGGCTGACAACGGGGGGGTCGCGGCTTTTGGCAGGAGCTAAATTTGTACCGTGTTGGCCGCGCCCTGTCCGCAAGCGTGTAGAGGAGGTGTGAAGGGTAATAAGAAAGCCATTTGTTTAATGCAGCTGATTAATTGATTGATTAATTAATAAAGCTGTTGACTTGCTTTCTCTGTCGCTGTAGGTAAACATACATGAAGTAAGACCAGGTCTTTTTACAGTGCAGTAAGGAAGGAATGAGTGGAAGAATCACTAAGAAAATTAGGCAATTTATGGGCAAAATTAGACAATAGACAGTCTTAGCTTGATGGCTGATTATGGTTTTAAGGAAGAGAAAAAATACTTGGGGAAACCAAAGATTGTTCACACGTGGTAGATGGGAGGATGGCATTGTTCTTCCTTGTGGAGATGAAATTTCTAATATTCTAATACTGGTGGATAAAAAGAGAGGGCACGCTTGGCAAAGAGGTTTTACTCCAGGTTATGAACTGAGTAAGGTCTGTAGACGGTTATGTTTGTGCACCATCAGGAACCATTTGGACTGAACTAAGGTTGAACGCTCTGAAAGCAGACATGGGGTAAGGGAAAGACAGCGAAATAATGATCCTGCTGAATGTGGGGTAGGAGAGCTAATACTGTCCAGATGTGAGAAATAAATAGGACAATGACATGGGATGTGAATGTTGTGGTGGACTGTAAAGTAGCAGGAAGAGATGGTGTGCATTAAATAAAGAGTCAAGGGTATCATTGCTTTGAGAAAAGAAAATTATAAGAGCTTTTGATGGTGTCTGCCTTGGTCCACAACAGTTGGATTTGGATAAGGATATTGCTTACTGAGAGATACTCTCAAGAATTATGTTACACGTGGATTTCCTTCATAGATACAGATAACGACATCATTTCAGGAGGACATAGAGCAATCCAGTTGTTCTTACATACAACTGCGGTAAGCTTACCAAATGAGCACTGAGTTGCTTAGACTTGCTCTGGGTAAGTAGTGTGGGAAATTTGGAGAAGAGCTGGTTTATTAATCAGCTTGTGATCTTGGATAACATTTTTAATTAGGTTAAATAAATAGAAAAAGAGGACTAAACAGAGGCAGGTTTGAAATTCTCAGAAGGGCAAGCTTTGAAAAACCAGGAGGATTAATTAGTGATTTTAGTTGCACTGGAGTCCAGAGGGCCCTAGAAGCGAAGAAGGTATGAAGCTCTTTTATGTGAAAGGTAGAATCTGTTTGGAATTTATATCCAAAAAATGAGAAAAGGTCGATTGGAAAGAACTTTTACACACCTCAGAAAGGATTTTAGGAGTAAGGACTAGAGAAAGGATGGATAAGCAAAGAAAAATACAAAGTGCAGTACTAAAGTGAGAATTGACAAAAGTAATTCTGAGTTAGTTTTAAGCAGTTGTTTTTTAAAGCTTCTTTAATCATGTAAGTAAAAATAAGAATAGAAGACCACTGAGTGATAAAGTTGAGGTAAAGTAACCTTGGCATCATGGTGCATATGATCTGTTGCAGTTTGGAGGAGGCTACTGCAGTGGTTAGATTTAATATTAGATGATTAAATTTATTCCACAAAGAATAACATTTTGTCTCTTAATTATTTTTTAAGAGTTGGGAAGCCTCTATATGTTCTCTCTAATCCAGTGCTCTTGCCACTTAATGTTGTTTCACTTCCAGTATCAGAAGACTCTTAAATACCCAAATGAACAGTTACAGTCATTTACTCATAGTGGAAGTGGGCTAACTTTTCCTTCTTTACTATTGGATCTCTCTCTGCTATAACATACGGTATATTTTTATGCAGACAGCTATAACTATAAAAGTTTAAACTATCAGAATCCTCAGCTCCAGGTATATAATAGCTGTTATATGTGTGTGTATTTTTATATATATATATATATATATATATATATATATATATAATTTTTTTAAGTATATGCATTTTTAGATATATGTTTGTTATACATACCTATGCAAATACAGACTTTGTGTCAGGGAGAGATTGCACCATCCCACCCAGGCATTGCGTGCTGGGTTCATGGGAAGTGCTCTGGCAAGTGCCCAGTGTTACAGGGCAGCATAGCTACAGCCAGATTCATGGAACTGTGCTGGGCATCATCTTGAAAAAACTCCTCTCTTGGTGACCCAACATGTTGCCCTCTTAGCTGTAGTCAGGGGCCCTTATCATGGACCAAGGCTCCAATGTGCAGAAAGACTGTGCTGAACTGAAGTAAGCAAGGAATGTAGAAAAGAAAGCCAGGTGTGGTTCAATAATGCTTATGTTTAAGCTTTTTTATTAAGGCTTAGAATGTTTTAGCAGATACATTTTATAAATTAAAGCTTTTAGTCTAAATGAGGCTAGAATTACCTTCTTTGGGCAACTAAGGAAGTGATTAAAGGTTAGAACTGTAGGAGCTGTGAATGTTTTTTTCTTTAACAGCTAGAGCAGACTGTGAGGTCAAAGATCCAACAGCCAGACCCGCTACGTGGCTCAGCGTTTGGCTGGATCACGTAACTGCAGACTGCTGACAATTTAGGCTAGATCAGATCTACTTAGAGGGGGCATAACAAAATACGTGCATTGGCATGCTGTTTTACTGTTAATGCAATATGGTATTTCTGATTACATAATAACAGAAGGGTTCTTCCCAGACACGCTGTTCCTGTGGCATTGAACTGGTGTCCAGTCAGGCTCCCACATGCAAGTGCAATGCCACCTAACATCTGAAGCTTGAACACAGTTTATCCCGAACAACTTGATGACCTGTTAGTGCTTCTTAAATTCTTAAAGCTTCGATATTTTCTGTACTAAGATTCTTTAAGCTTATAAAAATATAATAGCTGTTTCTTTCACATATTTATTGCTTTATTTTTAAGTATTTTGCTCTTTTACGTGGTGAATGTTTTTAATAAAGTTATTTTAAAACCAGGGCTTTGGAATACTTTTTTTTTTCTCTAAAGTTGGTTCTTCGAACTCTCATGTCGGAAGGTCAAAATGAAGAATGAGTATAAGTTTCAATTCTACCAAATCAGTTATATGGTAAATTAAATTTTATGTAGCATTTAAAATAGACAGTAGCTAACAACTGCATTGTTGTGTTGTATTACATTTGTGTGTATGTACAGATTACAGGGAAGTGAAGTGTGTTTAGAGTTTGGCTAAGAAAAGTGAAAGATCTTTTCAAATGAATTTTCTGAAAATCTTGGATCAGCCTCATTAAAAAATGCAAAGCAATGTTTTTCTTCAGCATCTCAGGTTAGATTTAGGTTACCTTAGATTACATTAGGTTAGATTTAGATACAGGAATTACATCCTGTTCCCAAGAGACTGTCTAACAAAATATTTGATTATTTTATTACACTTCAAGGTTTGGAGACAGTACTTGTTATATTTTTTTTTATTTTACTGCAGAGGTAAACCACTAAGTATGTGAAAATGCCTCCAGCGTCCTCCTATAATGTTTTTCAGCACTGAAGGTAGTTCTTGCATTGTTTCCATGATCTCAAACACTTGATAGCCTTCAAAAGGTATTTTTGCACTTGTAGAAAGAAGTGTAAATATGTTTAAGTGAAAATGTTTTTTGATTGGCACCTTATCAGGCTTTTTTAGCTGCTGACCTTGACATTTCAGTAAGTGTATCAGAGGCATAATTTTAGTATAAACTTCATTACTTTTTTTCTAGTCTCTGTATTTCTGGCTTTCATTAGTTGGTTAAATAGTTTCTCATTAGTTGTTAGTCACTTTATTAAATTTTTTTTTTTTTTTTTTTTTTTTTTTTTCAGCCAAGTAGCTGGATAGCCAAAGCTTTGAAATTATTTTTTTTAGGGTGACTGTAGGGTTTGTAGAATGAGAAAAGAATTTTTGTTCTGCTTTAAACATTTATCCCTCTGGTGGGTGATGATGCATTTTTTCAGACACTTCTGCTCTTGTTGCTGGTAAACAATACACCATTCTACATCAATGATGATGATAGGCAGCAGTTCTAAGTGGAAAAAAAGTAATTGGAATAGGAATGGGAGAGATAAATAATATGGGCAGCGTGTCTTGCCATCACATAAGACTTTAAAAATTCCTAGATGATTTTATAAAATTTAAATTAATCAAATTGTCTTGCTAGCCCAAAATCCCGAGGTGTGGATTTTTTTGGAGGTGAGGGTTAGGTGTCCCAGGAATCTACATAGAATTTTTCAAAGCAGTTTTGTCACATAGGGCAGAAATTTCACACCAGACCCTAACATTTTTAAACCACTGAAGAGTTGAAAAATCACGCCCTCTGTTTCTCACTTACTTAAAAATGCTTTTCCCTGATGTATTTGCTCTTTATCCTAGCGGTACTGAACCTGCAGTGAAGGTTGATGCTAAGCATGGGTAGCAGAACAGTACTGCTGCTATCTTCCTTGCTTTTCATGTGCCCACGGTCTCTTCTGTGTGTTTTTTGCTTCTTATCTTTCACTGCTTTGATTCTTGCCAACCGCTTTCTTTTTGGGGGTGATGACGTTGCTGAGAAAAAGGCCTCTGCAAATAGATTTCAAGCATCTAGCTCCAGTACAGCATACTGCATGTAGATGAACCTCGGAAAACTTTGGTGGGGTCATGCTGGAGGTTCATCCATGAAGCCAGCAAGTGGAACTGGGTGTCATGCCAAAAGAGAAGTGACGTCTGCCAAGATGTTTTTTGTTAGTTTTGTCTCTGGAGACTGAGACAATAAATCTGCCTTATCTCAGATCATTTCAATTAGAAATTTCTGTAGCAGCTACCAACCTTGCAAGGCCAAGGGTATCAATCTTTCAGACTAAATACTCAAGTCTTTCAGAGTTTCTTGGATCTAGCCTCTAAACTGCATGTAGATTTGCTCTTACAGTTAGGAGGCAGCCAGTGGAGCTTGTCTTCGGGAGCGAGAAGTCACAGTCTGGTGTCAAGAAGCAAAAAGGGAAGAAGAGAAGGCTATGCTTTAGTTGGACTTAGCAGTTTTTCAAACAACCACTTACTGTTTCTTAAGGTCTGTAGTTTCTTGGTAATGGAAAGTGCTGCATCAATGGAAGCATGTATGACAAGATGACTTCCATCAATTTATTGTCAGCATAGCACTAGTGACATTTCATGAAGAAGGAAGGTAATTTTTAAAATAGTCTTCCTAGAAAGGGAACATGACCTGTTGAATTGGAATAACTGTTGACAATATTACTGGTCTGTCCTCTCCTGCAAGATCTCTTGGACAAGTTAACATCATTTCATGACTACTCTGGTAGGAAACTGCTGAGAAATCAAGAATATCAGAGAAGGTTGGGTTCCTTTCCTAAAGGTGTCAGGAAGTCCCTTTTTTCTGTGACTTCTTCCTCCTAATCTTTCCTAAGCCTGTGGTTAGAGTCCTTGGGGAAGAAGCTCCGGACAGACCTTTGATTCAGCAGATGAGATTCATAAACGCTCAAATTACGTGGGAGGAAATACTAAGTGGAGTTCTGAAAAATTTTGTTTGCTTGCCAAGTTCCTAGAGAGACAGTCTGCAAGAATGTTTACATTCAAATGAGTCAGTGAACCTCTTTAAATATTAAGGATTAAGTGGCCTTAGACTGCTAATAGAATTTGGCTATTAGAGCTAGTACTTGTGTTGGTCAGCTCAATCTTATCTGTACTGCAGGAGCATATGTGCCTTACCCAAAGACCTGTCATGGTTGGACCAAAACCAGGGTCAGAACTTCCAAATTCCAAGACCTAAACTCAAACTGCTGGAGTCTACTGTGCAGATTCATAATTGTACTTGGACTCCAGCTAAGTAATATAAATATTTTTGTATTAAAATGCTGCGCACTTCCTTAAGAAAAGGACATTTAAACAATGAAGTTTTCTCCTTTAGATCTGCACTTCAGAATTTGTTTTGGAAACACAGCTAGTGAAAATGTATATAAAGTTTTAATACATGAGAAATATTTCTTGCTTACCTGTTTGACTTTCTAAAGTAACTACTGCATTTTTATTTTTCTTTAAATGTAGTGGCTAGCTATTTTAAAGTAATGTTTCTGGGCAGTTATGTTCATATTACAAGATTTAGTAGCTGAACAACCCCAGTAGCTTGTCTTAAATAGCTCAGGTGTATTTTTCTTCTGTACCTGAAGTTTTCAAACATACAGGTTTTTATCTTTCAATTTTTGATGAAAATGCTGTTTTTTTCTTTGCTTCACTATGTATATACAATGGTTATTTTTCTGGAGGGAAAATTCCTACAAGTAGGCAAATATGAATCATCACTTGTATTTTAAATTTATACAGATAAAAATGATTTTAGACAGGCTTAATAACGTGGGTTTGTTGTTTTTTTTTTTTGGTCTGTCTTTATTTTCAGGATCCCAGGGTGACTATGTACTCTTAAATCAATTACAGGTTTTTAGAAAGAACACTTTTGCAGGTGCAGACATGTGGCAATCAATATGTACTTTTATTATAATACATGAATTTGAATATAAGAATAAGCTGATGTGATTTGAGCTGTCCCGTGTACTCCTGTGGGGCTGCTCAGAAATAAGTTGTCTATGTTTGCAGAACAGCTTGAAGAATGGAGTTGCAGGGTAATTTTCACTTAGTTACATATGAGATAAGACATGTTATGTTATAACTTTTGAGTTGTGAGGACATGTAAGTGATCTTAGTTCTTGAAAAGCTAGGGCTAAACTTCCAGTGTGTTTGTGGGACTCTGAAAAGTAGTGAGCTGGAGAACCTTTTATTAGGTAACTGAGGCAGTGAGATCCTACCATATCTTTCTTTATACTAACAAACTGCTTTTAAAGTCAAATTATGCTTTTGTCTAAACAGAAGCAATTGAATTGAAATAGTAGAACTTGAAGAATCATGGGAATCAGTTATGTATCAAATGGCTTTAGGAAGGAAATACAGAATCCTATATTTATTTAAATTAGAAAATTCATCGTTAATAGTTATTCTCCTGGGGGACGTCAGCCCTGTGGCCTGAATGTAGGCTAAGGATCGCCAAGAAGTGGGTAACGTATCAGCATTGCTAGGGAGTACTGGAAATTAATGCTGCAAAATACTGGATAGCCTTGATAATCAGTTTCACAGTAGGACCACTCACATACTGGAAAGAAAATGTTTTAGAGCTGCAGTTCAGTAATACAGTTCTGCTCAGACTGTGGTCATACCAAAGGCCTTGTCCTGGGTTTGAGTGAGTGGTGGAGTTTTTTGGTGGCAGGGGAGGGGGCTATAGGGGTGTCCCCCTGTGAGAAGCTTCTCGAAGCTCCCCCAGCTCCAAGTCAGCTCCACTTCTGCACCAAAACTGAGCCCATCAGCTGCGCCTCTGCGATAACGTATTTAAGAAGGGACGTGGTGACGGGCAGTGGGACTGGTGAGGAGGAGTTGCTGCAGCTGCATGAACACCAAGGTCAGTGGAGGAACGGAGGAAGAAAGGAGGGGGGAGGTGTGCCGGAGCAGAGACCCCCCTGTATCCTGTGGGGAGACGGCAGGGCGGCCCCCCCTGCCACCCATGGAGATCTATGGTGGAACAGACACCGATTTGTGGCCAGTGGCTTCCACCTGAATGATCAAGGTGATTGTGCCTGAAGAAGGCCGGGGTCTTGTTTCCCCATCCCAGTCCTATCTCTAACCCCAAGCCTGGCTCTCTGTCCCTTCTTATTGCTGGAAGAGAAGGGAGAGAGAGTGGCTTCGTGGTGGTTGGCTGCCGACCAGACTCAAATTGGGAGACAGCCTTAATTGGGAGAGTTGTTTGTAGTGTAAATACAGGTAATGTACACAAAATCAATTGGTTGCGTTCTTGTTGTTTGAACAAATATGTTGAAGAAAATAAGAAAGTAACAAATTGCTTAACAGCAAGAGCTTAACAAGCACCTGTTAGGTTGTAAAGCATGGTAAATAGCTACATGTGCTTATTCAGGGTTCTGTTCAGATGTTCATGCGTAACTGTCTGGTGCCATTTGGTTCTTAGATGCTGCTCCAGCATGGCATGGTTAACCTATAGGTCCTGTATTATATCTGCCAGCACTGTGTGGTGTCGGTGCTACTGCGGGTCATCTCAAATAGCAGTAGGTGCTAATGTGTGGCCGCCTGAATCAGCCCTTTAGTCCTCCCTAGCTGAAAGGGAATATTACTTCAAGTTTTTCCAGTTTGGTTGTGTGTTCGAGCCTTAAGCTCAAAGTCAACATGGAGGTGAGAGTAGCTAGACTTTCACACATGAGCTGAATTTATCATTTAATGTCTCAAACTACGTGTATAAAATACACTGTGTATGTAATTTTGTGGGGTTTGTTAAAGCAGAAGCTTAACAGTGTGCATATTAAGTACAGTTGAGCTGCAGCAATTGTTTGGGTTTTTATTTGTTTTAGGTAAATAAAAATAATTTTGTTTATTCAGGAAGTTAAATCGTATTTGTTAAATCATTAACATTTATAATATTTAAATAATCTGAATCTCATGTATTCTGTATCCTTGGCCTAGGTCTTACAGCGTGAAGTTGGATTTAAGAGGCGTGTTTAGTAGTAAGTTAGGTAGTTTTATAAAGCTAGATTTGATACTTCTTTTAAAGTGGTATTCCTCTGAAAATGAACTGAGTAAAATGGTAGCTTCTTGTTTGTTGGATGTTATTCTGCCTGTAGTCAGAATTTTACAGACCATTAATTTGATGTGAAAAGTAAACAGATTTTTGACATTGGCTGAACCAGTGTACCTCAAAGAAAATGATGTGCACAGCTTTCTCACTTGTTGAGTAAAAGAAGCCTGCACAGCTTAAGAGCTGCTTACTCCTTTTTGCAGTTTTACTGAAAGTGGAGTTGCATGGCCTTGTGTTAGGAAATAACGTAAGGATAGCAGAGCTGTGCATGTTTGTTTGTGAAGAAACAACTGATCTGAAAATCTATTTCTATTGATAATGTACGTCATAGAAATTATACAAGTAATTTACAGGGTTGGCAATATTTTCTGAAACAGAGTAAGTATTTTAACAGCTCTCAGTAAATTGGAGAAGACCCAAACGTTTTTCTAACATTGGTTTTCAGAATGGAACAAGTAAGAGCCTCTGAAGGCTTAAGCCAGAAACAGAAAGCTCGGACCAGTGTGCTTTTTCTTTGCAGAAAGAAATGCCTTGAAAAATTAGGTCAGCAAGGTTCTGAATTTGTTTTTACTGCAATAAAAAGACATTGGAGTATTGTGTTTAATGTAACTTCTTCCTTTCTAATCACAGTCTGATTAATTTTACTACGTATTTTAAATAAATTGTTTTGGCCAACAGTTGTTTTAGGTAAGAATACAGAAGAGCAGAATCTGTCTAACTGATCACTGTGTAGTTGAATATAAAACCAAAATTGACTGAGCTTTGTGTTTCTTGTTTTCTCAGCCCAGAGAAGCAAATAGTTCTGACTTAATACTGTGTATAGTTCCATTAAGTATTGTTGCAGCAGTATGATATGGTGATTTTAACCACAATTCTCTCTCTGCAGGGGGACACAAGCACAAATCCATATGGAGGATGAACCTCCTCCTTCTCGAGAAGTCAGTGTCAAGGTTAGAGTGTGAATTTGTATTGAGAATTCCGTACTGCTCTACTCAAAAGGAAGAAGCTTTGCTCTATTTAGCAGTAGCTTAGTACATGCTAGTAGCTTTCAAGATAAACAGAAAACCAAAGCTATGGGTAGAAAAAATGATACCAGCAAAAGAAATACTGCTTATGTGATCCATAAAATATTAGAACAATATATTAATTTTAATTAGGTTGAATTGCTTCTTTGGCTTACAAGGCTAGTTTAATTTAATATTAAGTTCTGAGGTTACATGTTCCAGCCTAATGTTTCAACAACATGAACTTGTTAGAATTAAATTTTGTAGCATAATTTGGGTCAAAAGCTTCCTTCTATTTTTCTTTTTTATTTTCTTTGAACACTGCATGTAGAACTTAATGAAACATCATTCAGATTTTGAGCTTAATGGTGATGCCTTTTAAGATGATCTGTGTGACAAATAAAACTGAATAACCAGCTTTCAGACTGATTGCTGAGGTCAAATGAAGTGTAGAATTTTTAGGAGTTCTTGAGGCATAACTGATACACCTTTGGCATAGGTAGCTGGACCATATGAAATCTCAAATTCCGGTCTAACTTTGTCTTTCATGACTTTGTGCAATATAATGAAGGAACGGATCACTTACAGGACATAAATATTGGCAGGCTGATAGTTCAAGCTGTTTTTCATAGTTTTGGGACAAAATAGATTGGAGAAGTCTGGGAGGGGAGAAAATCTTGAAAGGTGAGAGAATGTCTCTCACTGAGTTGAATGAAACTAATAATTCCAGAGACAGGATTTAGATTATGAATATTTTTTAATCTGATAAAGTTTGTTGATCCTTCTTTCAAAAAAAATCAGTATCGCAAGTGTTTCCTTGGGTGCTTTCTATAGTAGTAGTTTGGGTTTTTTCCTTCAGTGTATTATTTTAGTGTTAAAAAATCCTACAGTTTGGGTTTTTTTTTAACCTGGTAATTATGAGGGTGGAACACGAGTGCTTTGTAGAAGGAGGTTACAGAAGAAAACTTTTCTATTTAAGATGAATGGATTCTGACCCACTGTGCACTTGGAATTTAGAGCCCACATTTTAAAGAAACCAGTATGTTACTCCAGTAAGGGAATCTGTACAGTTGAAGGACACCCTGACTGTCCTTTTGAACCCTGGGTTTCATCAGTTTTGAGCAAAAGCGGGATGCAGTTTTGTTGATGCAACTGGAAGACTAGTCTGTGATGCTTTCGCTGTTCACTATCATGTTTTAAAAGTGCCTAAAATCCTCCATCGAATTAATGCTAACTTCTTGACATAAACCAAATTGTTCTGTGAACAGCGGATGAATTAAGCCTGATTCCATGTGGATTCATGGCCTTTGTCTCTTATAACCCTGCTGTGTCAGGGAGGACAGCATTTACTAGGACTAGCTTGGACCTACTTGCTTGCAGAGTTATTTCATACCATACGTGTCCGATTGTCCAGCTGCCGACTGCCAAATGGCTTGTGTCAGCAGAATCTTACTTCCCTTTCGTTTGCAAATTTGGCTGAAATTGGTCAGTTAGTTGGTATGAGGAGGTGGGGAAAGAACTGGTGTGATCAAAGCCACAGCTTTTCTTTAGGGAAGATGACCAGCCCTCCTTTTCCTTCCTCAGGAGTATATTATAAGGAAATGTGTGATTAACTGCTGTTTGTTTAAAGACTTTAAATCAGGATTAATTTAGGGATTATTTCTTTAGTTTCAAATGTTATTTATGTTTCTGTGTATGTTTTTTCATACTAAGTGATACTAATCAAGAAAGCAGTATCTTTATGACTAACACAGTGTGCTTCAAACTACAGACTAGAATTTATTCACGTCTTTGTTTCAGTCAGAGGTAGAAAATATTATGTTCTATAACAGATCATTTTGTAAGTCAGCTACTTGCTGGAAATAAACTAAGGGCGCAGTCCTCACTGTTACGTGGTAAACTACGTAACACCTGTGACAGGCAAAATCTATTCTTATTTACTTTCTGATCTGGCAAGCAATGCTACTTTTCTTTCATGTCCAGAGCCTGTTTTAATTTCAGTCAAGAAAATTTGATGCATGCCCCATGCGAAATTTGCTACTAAATTTTGATACTGCAACATTTTTCTGATTTATGCTATACTAAAGCAGTAGAAATGCTGCTCAAGGTTCAGACATTAGCTTGGCTGGTTTAAATGTCTGGAGAGATCCGTGTTTTTTTCCTTTAACTATAAACTTGTCATTTGTCCTTTGATAAGCTGGAAAATGTTCCATTATCTTTTTTTCTTGTATTATATGTCTACTTGCATAAAATGCACATATTCTTAGGAATTTTCCAAAGATTCAACAGTTGTTGAAACACAGAAATAAATTTCAGAAGTAAAGGAGAAAGGAAAAAGTTTCTCAAGTTTTCTTAATTTCCATTTTCAATTAATGAAAACAAATCTTTGTATTTTTCAAAGATTAGTATATTCTTGGGCAGATTTTTTTTTATGGTTTCTTCTTTTAACAGTAACTTTAACACCAGACAAAAAGCCACAAATTATTTTCAAGTTTTGAATGTATACTTTACAGTTTGTATTAGAATCCTGTACAGTGAATTATATAAGCTAGGAGTTACGTTGTGTGAATATAGTGCAAATATGACCTCACCATTTAACTTCTTAGATTGTATTTTTCTCCATGCGTATAGATCCTTCCTTTCTGGATCATGATATATTATATTTGTTTATTTTAATGGCCACCCTGTAAGTATTTTTCTAGAATTGAAATACTGGTTTGTGTTTGAAAAAGGAGATGGTGGTGTTTCTCTAAATTTTTTACTTTTTACTGTGCCAAGGTAAACATTTCTCTCTGTCTAGGTATTTGATATCATTTTTTATAATACCAGGTCTTGGAGGCAACATTACTGTCAGCTCTGAAGATGCTGGATGTTGGGAAATGGCCAATTTTTTCTCTCTGTTCCCAAGAAGAGCTCAGGTTAATTCGTCAAGCCTGTGTGTTTGGCAGTGCTGGTAATGAAGTGTTGTATGCAACTGAAAATGATGAGGTAATTGTCCAAGAGTGTGCATGAATATGTCATATTTAGTCATTTCTGTATCAAGTTATTCTGAAAGCAAGTACTAGGATAGTATACCTAGAAAAAGTTGCGTACAAAAATGCCTGATCATTTTGATTGCTACTAAAATATTCTCAATTCAAATTAATGGCTTCCTGCCACAATCAGAGGATTAAGAGACAATGGAGTTAGACGTTTCTTGGAGGAGCACAGTAACAGGGTGAGAAGCAATGACCCAGTCTGGAATATAGAAACTTCTGATTCAATATTAGGAGAAAAAAATCCTGATGGGAATGGTTAAATCCTGGAGGGGGTGTGAGATCTTTTCCTTGGAGCTGTTCAAGACTCAACTGGACATGGCCTTGAGTCAACTGATCCGTTTAGACCTATGAGTAGCGGGTTGGACTAGTTGACCTTTGGAGATCTTCCATTCCAACCTAAATTATGATTCTGTGATTCTTTCATAACAGGTTTTTGTGCTTGGCATGAACTGCAGTGGGTGTTTGGGAACAGGTGACATGCAGAGCACTATTGAACCAAGGAGGTTAGATTCTCTGTGTGGCAAAAAGATAGCCTGTCTGAGTTATGGAAGTGGCCCTCATGTTGTTCTTGCTACAGAAGGTAAAGTATGATCTGAATATTGCTTTTCAGATACATCTTTAATTTCTCCAGCAGGTGTGAAAGGTCTGTGCTGGTAACGTAAGAGAGCAATTGAGATAGATGTTCTGGGCTATCAAGTACAACATATTTTCATTAGTGACCATGACATGTCAGCTAGCTCTGTTCATAGCTATTTCTTTTCAAAAGTTTTTCATGCTCTGCTTTGATGTTGTTACTACTTTTGGGAGGTTTGTTTTTTTTTTTTTTTCACTTTGCAGTTAAGTTTGTAGCTTCTGATTGCTTTTGAAATGCATTAGTGGTTACATTATGTCCATATGTTTTTGTGACAACGATGCCCTTTAGCTAAAATGCATCTTTTCCCTCCTGTACTTCCTTTTGGATGTGCTTAAAAGACCAGTTAAATTGCCTGTCAGCCTTTTCTGTTGTCTCGTTGACACTCTATTATCCACATCGTGGTAGTGGCCCTTCTGTTCATAATCAAGGACATTATTATCAATGACAAATGACTGATGTTGTGTTCCCAGTAGAGTCTCTGTTAGAGCCCGACTGATGATGTTAAAATTTGTCTCTTTCCCTCCATTAACGAGAATAAATCTTCTTGAGTAGCCTAGATTAGATGACTAAAGGTAGGTGAGGGGAATTGTTTTGTAAATGTATGACTGTTCTTTATATTTAATTACATTCCACCATTTTCTTCCGTCTTCAGCATAAACCATTCTGGAAGCTTTGTATAGATGTCTCTGTATTCTTCTGAGCTTTGTTGCTGGCAGATCTCACTGACATGCTCATACTCCTTACCCAGATGATGAACTGAAATATTGCAGAAGAACAGGTTCAGAACTGATCCTTGCTGATTTTTACTCATAACTACATTTGCATTAATAATTTCCGTTTAGCACAGCCTCTTTAAGCTACCTTTCAGACTGCCCTTACATATTTCACAATTCTTATGTTAATGACTGTAATTTCCAGTTTATGTTGTATGTTTCTATGTGGCTGTTTCACCTGTTTACTGAAATTTGTATTCTCATGTTGGTGGAAGAAGAGGAGGTTGTTTGCTTTTGACAGGGTAAAGTCATTAGATTTAACCTGTTGAGAAATACTGGTTTAGTGTAGCACATTTTGCCTTTGTAGTTTGGAGGGAACCCTTCCTAGGGACAAGGACTTTGGTGACCTCATTAGAAACCCGATAGAGTTGTATGTCAAACCTAGCTCTCCTGTAACAATGGTGTAATTTAGGTTTAGAAAATGATGATGGTGATAGACAAGGTGAATGGAGGACAGATATTCTCCGAGTCCTGCACTACTCTAACTAGAGGACACTTCATTTAAAACAGATGAAAGAAAATGAGGGTAAAAAGGTGTTAGCTTCATGGATAATGGGCCAATATATGTACGTTAAAGAGGATCAGAGAGGTATGTGGTAATACCTGTACTCTAGTGATTGTAAATGCTTGGGAGCTGCAGAAAGTGACCAGGCTTATGTTTCCTTTAAACAGCAGCTTTTTTCTATTGTCAGTTGGAGACAGAATTTTGTACTAGGTGGACCATCAGTCTAACCCAGTCAGACATTTCTTGCATTCTTAATTTTACTAGCATGTTTCTCAAAATACAAGATATGACTAGTATGTTTAAATAATAAGTAAAGAATAGGATGTTTATAAATAAGTAATAATAACTTTTTCTTACCAGCATCATCATGTATATTGTAAGGGAATGAAAACTTGTTATTTGAATTTTCCAGAGTGGGAAACAGAACACAGACAAGAAATTTTGATTGATGATCAGTTACAGAGAAATTGAAACGGGTACTCCTGACAGTCATCTCATCCTTTTCTTTTCTGTATTGCACTATCTCCTTTGTTTTAGCTATATGATTTCTTTTACTAAGATTGTCTTAGATTTGTGGTCAACTCTGTGTGGAGGTAGCATTGGTATGTCCATGGGCATAAGAGCCCCAAAGGGCACGTATACATATTTAAGTGTGTGTGTATATATATATTGTTACATAATTTGACTTTTCAGTTTGTAATCTTATGTTACGTACTCATTGGAAGAACAGAGATTTTAAACTAGCTTTTTACATTTTTATTATAGAAGGAGAAGTGTATACATGGGGTCATAATGCCTATAGTCAGTTGGGCAATGGTACAACAAATCATGGTTTCATTCCCTGTCAAGTCTCTACTAACTTGGTGAACAAGAAAGTCATTGAAGTTGCCTGTGGCTCTCATCATTCTATGGTGTTAACATCTGATGGAGAGGTGAGAATAGCTGGAATAAATCTCTCTTTTCTCTTAATGAAATTTGTGTATGTGAGAAACAGGAAAACATTCTGCACCTAGAGCATTAGACCGAGCATTAGACCTTGCTTCTTGCTATCCTCACAGTGCTGATGCAACACAAATGTTTGATAAAAATGGAAAACGTGTTAGGGTCTAGCTGCTTTGAAGTGCATGCAGCACTTTGATTTTTGTGCCACATCTGCTTGTAATAAGAAATTACAGTTTCTTTGTAGAGGACAGCCAGTTCCTTCCTATGCTGTACTCCAAATGCTTAAAGGTGTTAAAGCTGACATTCATATAAATCACATTCACTTAAGGAGTTCTAACCACCAAAGTAAGTTTTCTGTCAATTACTTTGAGGTGCCATTTGTGTCCAGTTAGCCATTCTACTTTGGGTTCTGGAAGACTAGCAACGAATTCTTCCAGCATTCATGCAACTGTCATGTTTTGATTGGAGGAATGTAAAAGGATGGAATATGTAAATACTGTGAGTGGCATATTTTTGACAGAAACAGTTAAATTGTACGCCTATATGTCTGCCTAGATCCTTAAAAGATTACATCCACCTGAACTCAAAATATAATTTTTTATGCATATAACTTTTCTTCTCTTGAATATGTACTTTGAACTGTATGTTATGTAGTGTTCTTTTATGACAATTCACTCACGACAGGTGTACACGTGGGGCTATAATAACTCAGGCCAAGTTGGATCTGGTTCAACAGCTAACCAACCAATTCCTCGAAGAGTTACCAGCTGCCTACAGAATAAAATAGTAGTTAATATAGCTTGTGGACAAATGTGTTCTATGGCTGTGGTGGAAAATGGAGAGGTAAGAGACTTTAAGTGAGTTTTCTGACTGAATTTTGTTGTATGTAATATTATGGAATGTAGATAATTTCAAACCAAGAGCTACTGCTGAGAAACCGAGTATACCTGTCCAGGCTACCTCAAATCCCCCTCTTTTTGCTGCTTATAAAAACCTTTGTCACAAATTCTCCTGCACATTCTGACATACTTAAGCACATCTTCCTATCCATGCTGATTATGGTTTCTTCTTTAGAAAGGAAGTAGAGTGCCACAGGGAAAATTGGTCACTAACGTTTGCTTTATGACTTTTTGGTTTATGAGATTACCCATAAAATTTAACAGCTTTTACTTTGTATCAAGTATTGAAGTTGGCTTTGAATTGAACGAATTCAAGTATCACATTTCAAATTTAATTGAAAATACAGTTTTGAAGTAAAAATAGCATTATGTAGGTCAGGAGATTTTTACAGATTTGGGGATTAAATCATACTGAATTTATATACGTATACTTAGCATTTCATGCTAGCTTCATTTTCTCTGTGTAAAGATAGCTAAGCTTGTCTCACCGATTTACTGATTTTTTTTTTAAAGCTGGTATTATATTCTAGCAACAATGAAAGTGCTGATTAATACGTTATCCCACTGCTGTCTTTAGCGTTCATAGAAAAATAAATTGTTGTCTGTGCTAGAGTCATAAGTATCAAGAATGTGAGAATAATCAGTGAATACTGTTTTAATTTTCATTGCTCATATATGCACACTTTATCTCAAGAGAAAACAGAAAAATAAAAGTACAGTGCATATATTTGTACTATTGCAGTACCCCTTGAATCCCTCTCATTTTTTTCATGCTCATACAAAAGATATGAAGGGGTTGTAGCATTCTTGTTGGTTTAGTTCATATGAGCTGAAGATTTTGGGCAGCCTGCATCCTCTCTAGCTCCACTGCGCCAAGCATTTCAGTTTAGACCTAAGTAGCTATTGATTGTTTGCGGTAGAACATATGTCACTGAAATTTTCAGAGCTCAGTATTTTCCCTTTTTCTTACGTTCAGCAGAAAGCTGTTAACAGCCTACTCAAACTGTTTGTCATGTTTTCCAGTTTATACTTGTTTTACTGTGTTTTATTTTCAGTGAGAGGGTTTTTGAATGAGAAATTAGCTCTTTGTAAAATTGAAGTATTCATGCTGAATTTGTTCTGTGCTGGGAAACAGCCGTCTGAATCACTTATTTTCCACTCTTCATATTAAAATTTTGTAGTCTTATATCATCTAACTCTTAAACAGCAACATGAATGCGGGGGTTTAGAATTTTAGATGAGCATGCAGTTGGTATTTTAAACGGAAGCAGCATCCAAAATTTCTGGTACGGAAAAACATATACAGGTGTGTGTATATAAGAACATATGTATATATGTATGTTTATGTAGGTATGTATATATGTGATACATGTGTGTGTCTGTCTGTATGTATATATGTACATTTATATAGGTATGTATATATGCGTGTGTGCTTGCGTGTGTCTACATGTAAAGTACAGATCCTAAGGTGTGGGGACAGGAAGTACTGCAGAAAATGGTCCCTGTGACTCTGAAGTAGTTACATAGCTTTCAGAAGGAGTAGGCAGTAGCAAACAGTTAAAACCCCTGTCTCTGTTTTTAAGGTCTATGTCTGGGGTTACAACGGGAACGGGCAGCTTGGGCTGGGCAGCAGCGGCAATCAGCCAACGCCGTGCCGAATAGCAGCCTTGCAAGGCATTCGTGTGCAGCGGGTACGTGCGCGTGTGATGCTCCATGTCAGGCCCTTTATCCACAGCTGAAAATGTGCTAAGGCATCTTCTACGTTTAGAAGAGCTAATCCTTTATCTCTTTATTTAAAATGCCATTTATCGGAATAAGAACATGTGTCTTCAAGCAGATCTCTGCCGGTAGGGGAGAAACAGTGAACCTGGGGAGTTCAGTGGGAATTTTGCCATTGACTTCAGTGAGGTCAGGGTTTTACTTCAAGAGGACTAGGGCATTAGAAATGTTTGGGCTTTTTTATCCTGTGAAACTTAATTAAAAAAAAAAAAAATCCTGTTATTTTAGTAAATAAAAAAGTCTTCTTAGGCTACCCTGTTCTTCATTAACCCCGGTCTTATGGGGAAAGGCTGCAGTTTAGCATTTTGTCTTGCTGGCAGGCTGAATATCACTATTAGAATTGCACGCCAGCCACAGTGACTAACTGGTGTTTAGAGTCTGAACAAATTGTCTGCAACTGCTTTTGGTCAGTAGTTTGATTCCGTGGTTGTACGGTTCCGTGGTTAGTCTTGATCTTGGGTGGTTATTATACTTCACCAAATAGCTGGGCTGCCATCAGTGTAACTAGCAAACCCAGAACTTCTTTTGACCGATAGGGAATACTTAAAGTAACTGCAGAACTGATACTGAAAGTTTTTAATGGATTTATCCAAAATAGAGGGTACTGTCAAGAAAATGACAGATTCTGCTAGAAAGGATTGGGTTTGTAACCTAGTGAAAATTTACAGGTGTGTTTTGAAGTCTGGATCCTATCAGATTTATTTGGGGAAGTTACTTTTCACATAAACCTATTTAATTACATAGTTTTACACTCGATTTCTAGGATGTAGACTGGAACTTTGATGGTAACAATTGCTGTCGGAGAATAACATGATAAAGTGGATGTTATTTTCCCCTGTATTTATTCTCCTGTTTAGAGAGCGTGAGTGCTCCAGTAAGTTCGACTGAGATCCTATTTCCATCCAATTCGTTTGCTTAATATCGATTAATGCCAAGCTGTAGACCTCCAATCATGAAGTAACTTAGGGATTTATTTAATTTAAAGCACATCACATGCTTCACGGATGTCAGTGGACTGCACGTGCTTACGGTAGATCTGCTTTGCAGGTCACAGAGAGATACGGGAGCTAGTTTTGAACAAGGTAAATTGGTTATTGATAGCCATCTAGCTATAAGAGGTTACACTGACTCATGCAGAGCAAGACCATTGCTGGTAATTTTGCCGCTGTGTGTCTGTATGTGCAGCATGTGCTGCACGTGTAGATTGTAAAGTGGATATTCAAGCACTAGGGCTGGCACAGGGAGGGGGCAGTTCTGTGTGGCTGGCAGTCAGGGAGGAGAGGAGCAGACGGGGAGACCTTGCCTGTTTTTATAGTGGTGAGCTATTCACGTTGGAGCAGTTGCCTGTAGAGCAAGAGCAGTGCAAGGCAAATGATCTGCCCTTTTCTGCATTTTTTTTTTCCTGCATATTGTTTGTATTTGTCATATAGCTTTCCTGCTTTCTTAATTTCTAGTTATCCTTTTGCCGTACTCTTGAGATTATGTGGCAGGGTTCCTCACTGGTAAATTTTTTCCTCAAAGCCACCTCATCTCCTTTGTCTCCCTTTTTAATAAACCTATCTGTATTTGTAGTTTTTGTGATTTTTACACTGGTATAGAATCAATAACATTAACGTATAGCAAAACATGTATCTATCTGTATTAACTTATTGTTACATACAAATGAGATTTTTCTTTTTATTATTCCTTATAGGTTGCCTGTGGCTATGCACATACATTAGTGCTAACAGATGAAGGTCAGATTTATGCCTGGGGAGCCAATTCATATGGCCAGTTAGGTACTGGGAATAAAAGTAACCAGTCTTACCCTACAACAGTTGTTGTGGATAAGGACAGGTAATACTTACAGTCTTGCAGTCAGACATTAGTTGGCATACTCTCAGAAGAGCTACAGAAAATTATGGCATTTTTAATCTGTTTTTTTGAAGAAATAGCCTATAATTTTTTTGCACTCGTTCTTCTGCTAAATGTGAACAGAATTTTCACTGAAAGTGCTTGAATCTGCCCCATAACCATCCTTGTGAAAGAGAAACTGAATGCTCTGAGCCCCAATGTGCTATTTTCTGCTTCGGCTCACACTGTACTTTATAGGCCTGAATTGCAGTTTCTCTTCCATGGTGTAGTTTCATTGCTTGAAGTCAACAATAAAAGCCTTATCGTCTCTGAATATAAATTGTATTTTGATATGCTACTTTTGACAAGAAGTACACATAGAAAAAGAGTGGACATCTGCAATTTGTGTTATTTCTGCTATTAAATCTGGCTCATAACCCAGGAGAAAGGGAGGAGTTCTTTCTCAGTACTGTTGCCTGAAAATTAAGCTTAGATTTTTACAAGTTAAATACTTTCTTGTAAGTCACAGTTACTTCCATTGCTAGTGTAAAGCTATGTGGTCAGAAATTTGAATCTATTCCTTACTACTGAGGTCTTGATTTTGGCCTCCTGTTGTGAATAATAAGAAAACTGAGATGTTTCTCTTAAACTCCTGTCTGTGTACATTATTGTAAGGCAGAGGCAGCTCCTCTGTGGTGATGAGACATGGCCTGGTTTTGAACATTGCTATGTCTTTCTGTGCCAGCTTTTGCTTAAAATGTAACTGATTTTCTTCCAGACGCTTTGGCTGCAGTTAAAATGTTACCACATTTTCATACAGATTTTAATGTTTTATGCTGCCTTTCCCTTCTGTTGGCCAGAACATGCATTCCTGGTGTCAGTGAGAATATTACCTTACTAAAGCCTGCAAGATTTGTACATACAGCTTTAAACAAGTTGTTTCCCAGCTATTTTCCCCAGGCAGCTGGGAAAACAAGTAAACAAGTGGTAGTTCAGATTGCAAAACAGTGGGTTGTGTAATGTTGTACACAGTGGGAGTTCTGAAATCCTAGGATTAGTGAGATAGCCTAACATAGCTAAAATACACTTAGAAACAGCTCTTAGTGCTGTTTGGTTCTAATTTTTAATTTTCAAAATGAAAGTCCATTAAACATAAGTAATAATAGAGTTGTGTGAGTAATGACACTTCAGTATTTTAATTAAAAGAAGTATGCTTATACTTCTGGTTTATAACTGTTACCAATAAGCAAGCAGGAAAAAAATTTTCATTAACTTTCAATTAAAAGCCAAAACGCAAATTTTTTTTTTTTTTTTTTTGCTTGGTTGTTTCTCGTTTTTTGAAACCCCTTCTCATTTCCTTCTTTACCTTCTCCAAGTACCCGTTTTCTTCAGCTGAATGCAGCCACTCACCTCACTGCCCAGCATCACCAAAGGCATTCAGAGACTTGAAACTCATCATAGCTTCCTTTGAGGGGGCCGAGGGGGTCAGCGGAGCCTGTGCTGCAGCAGATAACACCGCTCTGCTGCAACAGTGTCTCCTCACTCCCAGGGTGCTTTTTCACTGAGAAACTTTCTGAGCGCACACTATTTGAAGAAACATTGAGAGCCCTTTTAATTTTGCTACGTATGATCAGAAAGCATTCTTGCAACTGAAAGCGCGTGCATGCTTACAAATATGTTTTGCACCAGAGAAAGACAGGAGGTAGCGGGGCTGCTTCACTGCGTTTTGTTTTTACGAGAGTGACTTGCTTTTCTTCTTTGTTTGCTTGTAAATCCAGAGTTATAGAGATTGCAGCCTGCCACTCTGCTCACACGTCGGCTGCCAAGACGCAGAGCGGCCAGGTGTACATGTGGGGCCAGTGCCGCGGGCAGTCGGTGATCCTGCCCCACCTCACTCACTTTGCCTGCACTGACGATGTGTTTGCTTGCTTTGCTACCCCTGCCGTTATGTGGAGGCTTCTATCCGTAGGTGAGCTTAAATATTTTTTTGTTTTGACATCTTCTAAATAGAATCATTAGAGCATAAAAACAGTTGTGTGCGTTTGAAGCCTAGACTTAGTTTCTTGCAAAAATTTATGCTGAGAAGCATAGTCATAGTCATATATTACGTATCTATAAATGGTAATATGGAATTGTAGCAATTGCTAAGGCCTGATGGCAGTGCTAAATGATTATCTGTTTTATGGACGTGTGGGGAAATGCCTTGGGTTTGGGGAGGTTTTTTTTTTTTGTGTAACCACTGAATGATACTGTACAGTGGCCACAGGTGGAGAAGCTGAGTTTGAGTTTGGAGACCTGAGGGAGCCGTGCAAAACGTTTAGGAACCCTGAAGCTTTCTGTGATGCCCTTAAGTAGACTACTAAGAATTGAGGAGTCAAATTCCTGTGTTCAGAATTGGCCACAGGCACTTAGAGTCTCCTCACACATGATCATGACCTGGGCTTCTGAAGAGACAAGTTGCTGGGTCTCAGATATTTGATTAACACTAAGCTCTGTTTTGCTGGCCTTGACTAGCAAGAGTTAAGTATATAGCATTGTCTAACAGCGAGCTCATTCTTCAGCTACAAATTCAGTTTCGTATTGGTTGCTGTTAAACTTACTGGCTTTGCTGACCTAATCAAAGATGAGACTCTTGGTGTTGTTCTGTACTGCCTTTGTAATTGCTTTTGTGTTGCTGTATGCTTTTGTCTGACAATTGTAGAACACTCTCTCCTCCCTTGGTGCCTTCTGCATGCCAAGGTTAAGGAAATTTGTTAACAGTACTCATATTTCAACTTTGAGAGACCAGAGGATTCGATGGAGAATCCTGTTCTCAGGAGACTGCTTTGCCAAAAGTCACGTTTCAGGGCACAGTCCAAAGACCCTCATTTGCTCTAGATTGAGGCAGTTGTGCTTTCTAGGGTGGCTTGTTCAGAACTGTAATGTATATGCTTAATTACTGTGGAAATTCTTAATATTCCTGATATTTGCCTACCACTAAATGGATGTAAATTGTGTTACTGCACTAAAATCCCAGGCAATGGGGTGGTTCCTTCATGTAAATATGTGTTTGTTGGTTGTAAGTTCCACATAAAAGTATCAGTAGCATGTTCAGATTTTTCTTCCATAAGAACTAGTTACTTTATGAAGGAAATGGGACATTACTAGTCTATGTAGCTTAATCGTAAATTCAGTTATATGTAGCTTATGTACATTAGCAGGGTTCTAGGGCTCTTCAGCATCCATCTCTTCTTGCCCGGTTAAAATGCTATTTCATGCTATTGGAATTTCACCTCCACTTTTTCTCTTGCCATTTCTTCTCAGTTTAGTGCAGGGTATTGAGGAATTTTTCAAAGGAGAGTGGAGGAAGGCAAGAAGCAAAACCTGCCTCTTTTCTTATTTCATTCCTCACAGACAACTGCTGGAGTGAGACCGAAACTGTATGTTCCAGTTTTTCAGTGCTTCTTTCCGCAAATTCACCTTTTCTTATCTTCTTTTACAAATGCTGTTTTAGGTCAGAAAGGCTGTTATAGGTCAGCTAAAAGAGGCCTGAGTGGGATTATATATGATCATTCACGTAATTACCACCTCTATGCTGAAGACTTCCAAGTAACCCATTTATTAATAAGCATGTTGCTCATTAATACTCACAGATATTCACTCTCTTTGAGACAATGTGGTTAGGTCTACATTTGTAACTATTTCCCAACACAGCTTTTATCCCCACCTTCATGGTCACCCTGAAGGATACACCCCGCCTCCTCGCACTGCTTCGCACCTTGGGGGTGATTTTGACTGTAGCAGCTCCTTTTATTTTTGTTTTTTTTTTTTTTTAACCTTGTCTTCTTGGGCCCTTTGGAAATAGTGTTGCGATACATTAGCAACACGGTACCAAAGCACAAGGTTTGAACCTTACAGGAGGAAAAGGTTGTTTTATTTTTAAACAAAACTAATTTCAGATGCGCTTTCAAACCCGCATTATGTGCCCAGGGGTCTGTCCAGATTCCTGGCACTAAAATGTGTATTCTGGTGGTCTGAGCCAGGGCTGCTAATGATAAAGATACACAGGATAAAGGGCTCTGGCTGTCAGGCCCCTTGTCACGTCTCCTGGATTCCCGTTGGTTAGGTGACTGCTGGTTTTGGATGTGCCTTTTTGCACGCTGAAGGTGTCTGGTCTCCTCAGCCTGTCCCACCTTGGTGAGTCGTCAGAACTGACAGACTCACTCGTTCGTCTCCTGACCTGCGTGTGGTGAGAATCATCAGGCAGCTGCATCCTAGGATCTTAACACCTGCTGAACTAGGTGCCACGGACATCTGCCATGCCCTTCTCTGCCTGTTGGATTCTGGTGCTTCCACACCCAGGCGTTCCCATTCATTCTCTGCTTGTGGCAGTTCTAACGTTTCTGTTACAATTCTCGGCACTGACTGCTTAAGAGTTTTCTTGGCTTTGTGCCTTGTCAGTGCAAACTGCCTCTTCATAACCCTCCTCTGGTTCCCCTTTGACTGCTGTAACAAATAGAAGCATCTGTTTTCCCTCTAAGAATTTCGTAGCTGAACCCCACTCTGTTCAGTTGGCCTGTAGAAGTAGAAGCTGTAGAAGTCTTCTGGAGATGTGTATTGGTGGACATCTGAATTGCCAGTTAACTTTGAGGAAGAGCTCCAGCTTTGCATTGCTTGTTAAAATTGTTACTTATTTGGATAGCAGAGGTCTGAATAAATAAGCCACATTGTACAAAATAAGAACTAACGAAGTTTTTTGCAGTATCATTATTTCAGAAGGATTTTTTATTACCATTACATTGGATTGCTCCCCCTCCCTCAATCCTTTTACCCGGAATCCAATGAACAATGGGATATACATACATATGACACAAACAGGAATATGCAGACATTCACACAGAGTGCTTCTAACACCGTAACTCCAGGGAAAACACTTTTTGAATAGACTCGTGACTGTTGGTATCTACCTTTAGGGATACTGAACTGGGCAGTTTCCCTGCCCACCAGTATGTTGGTGATGTAATAGCTTTATTTCTGCTGTAAGATAATGTTTCCTCATGGAATTTTAGAAAACTGTGATTTTTTAATGACCTTTGGGGTATCTTGTAATAACTAACATTTTTCATTGAGGATCATTCACCCAGTAACGACTGATAGCATTTGCTATCACATGCAGCACTAAACTTCTGAGACTGTTAAAATTTTTTTTCTGGCCTTATATAGAATAGTTAGAGGAGTGAGACTTCTTTTTTAATAGGGGCATTTGTTTTGAGTAGGAAACTAGTAAGGACTGAAGAAAGCTGCTCTTTATTTGCTTTTCAGGGGGGGTTTAGAATGAACGTGTAGTCTGCTGGGGCTTTTTGCTAACCTAAAAGAGAGGTCATCTTTATTAAGAGTGTTAATTGCTGACAGATACCCATAGCATGAGAGATACTTGTATTACCTACTACTTACTAGCGATTCCCCTTTTTATTCTAGAACCTGATGACCATCTAACAGTAGCCCAGTCACTAAAGAAGGAGTTTGACAACCCTGAAACTGCAGACCTGAAGTTTCTAGTGGACGGAAAATACATTCATGTTCATAAAGTTCTTCTCAAAATTAGGTAAGGCACAAGCTGTATAGTTTAATATAAACTGTATAGTCTAATCCACTGTGCTGATTAATTACTGCTCAAAATTCTTGACTTACTCTCACAAACTCCCTTTTTCCTCAGCCATGGGATTCACCTGCTATTCTTCACTGTTAATCTCTTCTACATGTCCTCGCTGCTTGGAATTACCAAACATGCTGCTTACTACCAGCCTTTCCATCACTTCCCTCCATCTGATGTGTATCCTCCTTCGTGCTACCTAAATGGCCTTGACCCCGATTTCTAATAACCTTTTTCCGCTGAGGAAAAGTCTCACTTCTTTCTGCTGCCTTCCCAGTAGTTTGAATCAGTTTTTCCTCCTTTACCTGCTTGGCTTCCTCCACTGGGATGATTTGAAGGTTTTGTGTTTGTGCTCACCTGCCTTTCCTTCCACAGGACCCTTCAGTTGTTTCAGCAACTTCTGTAGATCCTCTTCAGAGCATCTTTTTTATCCTTTTTTTGCCAGATTTCTTATCCTACTTGTTTTAAAACTTCTTACCAGTGAATTTGAATTTGAAGTTGGCTTCTCTTTTTGTTTTTCAGCTTGTTGCAAGTTAACACCCCTTTACAGTGAGATTTGACATACAGAGTTCTACAGAGTAATCGCATTGTTATTAACACGCAGTGATTAGTTTGTTATTGCTGACACAGTTTCTGCTCAGATATTCCAGAAGGCAGTGCTTTAGATCTCTTCTGTCTTGCTAACTGCTTCTGCTCAATCCTCATTGTTACAATATTTTTTTCTCTTTTTAATTTTCTTTCTCAAAATGCTGGGCTATCTCATCCTGCTTATCATCACTTTTATCTTCCTACTTTCGCTCCTGTTAGTGATTTCTTGTATATTACTGCATAAAATTACAGTTCCGTGTTAATTCTTGCCTGCCCTTTTTTTGGTCTTTTCTGATCTCCTCTTACTACTTCAATTACCCGTGTTACTCTTTTCTTCCCTTTGCTGGTTTCATTGCTTGTACATTACACTCGTGCCTGTTTGTTTGGAATGCCGCATGCCCTTCATCAGATACCACTTAAAATCTTATGTATCCCCAAAATGTTTCTGTGATACTTTTTCCTGATAATCAGACTATAGGTAACTTTTCCTTATCTCTGTTTTTTTGTTGCTTTACTTTTCTCAGTTTATATGGCATTCCGGGAAGGAAATGTGTCTAATTCTAAAATGGATTTAGATGTATGGCATTATCAAAATACTACGCAGGAATAATAAAACATCAGGCACAATCTGTAGATTTAATATTTTCTTCAAGCCTTATAGTCTCATGATGCAGCTGGATCAGAGGATGATTTATTTAACATGATATTTTGCAGCATTCAGTCTGTTCCAGAGCGTTGTCATGAATGCAGTGCTGGTAAAAGCTCCTTTTTCTTATGAAGTCATTTCTTTACCACTTCTGAGGACTTTTTCCCATCTTGTTCTGTGCCTACAGTTGAACTAGATCTTACTGTTTGAGGTTATGAGCTTGCAGTGGTGGTGACGTGGCCGGACAACACCCAGCTGGGTGAGAGGCTGGCCGAGGAACATCCCGCCTGCAGAAACAGATACATATGAGTATGTGGGTGGGATTCCTCTGCTCTGCATTTAACCAGCTAAAATTAGGTGTCTGGTCTCTACTGAGAGAGAGAGAGAGAAGAGGAGAGAGGCACTCCAAAGGATAAGTCACTCCAGGATACTTTGGAGACTGGAGGAGTAGTGCCAACTGATTTTTATTTCTTTACGTACTTGTTTTTAAGAGAGCAACGTGCACCACCTTTCCTCTGACTTTCTGCTTTTGTGCGGTGCCGTTGTGGCCACAGACCGTTCCCAAGGTCTGCTCCACAGCTGGGTGGTTAGCATGGTCACCACCACCTAACAGGAGGCTCCAGAAAACAAAGCAGCGGGGTTTGGTCTGCCTCTTCCAATGCTGAAATGGGGTACAAGATGTGGCAGAAGCTAGGTAATGACTTTTTAACTCTGTATGATTTTGATTTGATGTTTATTGACTTTATTAAAACAAACAAACAAACAAACAAACAAAAAAAAAAAAAAAACAAAACACCACACTGAGAAAAAAATTCTTTAAATAACCAGTAAAATAAAATGTGAAAAGGGTAAATTAAGTGATAAAATAAATAATTATTTTTCCTTTGAGTCAAAGTTATGCTGTCTTTATGATGTAGACCTGTGCCAGCATCATTAAGAGGAAACCAACCTACATTTTACATAAAAGTTTTAGTAAAAGAAAAGCAAATTCTGATGTGGAGAGTTAGACAGTAAGTAGTGTAGTATAAAAGACTCCAGTTAAATTGTGGCTGTTACCTGAGGTGGTGATGTTCATTTCCATCAGAAAAAATTTTGAAAACAATGAAAATGTTACAGGATGTTTTTTAGGGAGCAGGAAGGTACAGTGAGTTGTAAGTTACTGTGAACTGTAAGTTGCAGAGTACAGCTGTTAAAGACAGGGCTTCTTCCTTGTTTGTATGTTGTCAGTCACAGAAGTATTCAGACTTGTAAGAAAAAGGTGATGAAAGATCTGGGTGAGAGTGCTGTCACTTTAAATTTTTTTAATTCTTGAGCATAATGATTAAATCTGATGCTAAATTGTGTATGGACTCTGACACTGGACAAACATTATCTAAAATATTAATAAATTCCCTCCTCCCTAGATCATGTTGGAGAAAGGTTGAGAGGTGAGAATTGTCTAACTTAATTGTAAACTTTATCTTTTATGAGGCAGATAATAAAATTTATAGTTAATGTATAACGTATTTAAGAAAATGACATCAAAACCACAAGGACCATCCTTAAAGATACTGTAAGTAGAAGGAAAATTCTGAATTCTATATTTATAAGGCTTAAAGAAATTAATGTGTTCAAACCAAGTAATCATGTAGCTAGAGTTTATGCTTGTGTATTTAGTCTGTTATGACTGATTTTTTAATTTGTTTTTGTTTTGTTTTGTTTTGTTTTTTACCAGCTTCTTCCTTCAGCTGTCTTTCAAGCTTAACTCTTCACAGTATGCAGTCTTTGTCCGTGTTTTGTAGGTGTGAACATTTTCGTTCCATACTGAATAATGATGACGAAATTATAGAAATGAGTGAATTTTCTTACCCTGTTTACCGAGCCTTCCTGGAATACCTGTATACAGACAACATTAGGCTCCCTCCTGAAGATGCAATAGGTATTTGTCATACATGGAAATAACTGTAGGTTACTGTTTCCGAAAAGTTCAATTTCTGTGTCGTAACAGGGCGAGGAGAGCAGGGCTTGTTAACTTTAGTTTTATTAGCACTTAAATCTTGAGTTTGGCAGGCGTCAGGAAGAAGGGATGCAGTAGCAGGAAAATTACCCACGGAGAATGAGTGGTGGGGACGTGTTAAGATCAAAGATGCAAAACGTTCAAAAAGAGCTCGTTGTTTCTCATATTAAGAACTTTTTTCCTTAAAAGGGCACTAGTACCATCCTAAAACTTTTCTGTTCGAGTAGCTGTGGCAATTTGATCATTAATGAAAAGGGAGCTGTTCCCCACATGAATTTAAGAGGATATAAGTCACTCATTGATGCCTAGAATGAGATCCAATACAGCGAACAAGAAGACAGAACACTTGCGTAGTAATACAAGGATCTGGTTTTGATATGACTTTTGAGGACCTTTAAAAATGCACACATCATCTAGGGAAATAATAGAGCAAGTCTTTGATGAATTCAGCCTAAACTAGAGTAATTGATTAATTTAAAAATAAATTAATATGTTTTGCACCAGGATAGTAAAAGCTGTATGAATTTTTACAGGACTACTAGATTTGGCAACACTGTATGGAGAAAACAGATTGAAAAAGCTTTGCCAGCAAACCATCAAACAAGGCATTTGTGAAGAGAATGCCATTGCTCTTCTTTCTGCAGCTGTCAAATATGAAGCTCAGGTAAGGAGAACTTCTTGCCAGGCGAACGGTTGTTTTCTGAGAAATGAAACTGTTTCATATAAACACAACTGCCTTTAACTAATGAGGCACGATTACAGCATTTCCCTTTCTGGCTTCCCAGATGTTTGTTTTCCCCTTTTTAAACTACAAAAAAAGGACAGGACAGCTACTAGTGTTTTCTTCCTGGCCTTTTGGCTTGCACCTGTGATTCAGCATTCTTAATCTGCGTCCTGCCTGGGCAGCTGGCGTGGCATGGCATGCAAATTTCTCACTGCCATTTACTTCACCCGTGGATTTTGCATTGCTTGTTCACTTCCCGAGTTCTCCACCTGATCATTTTTCCTGGCAGTGTCTGGCACAGTTGTTCTGGTACCGCCTTTTACAGGCAGTGGTAGAATTGACCTGTAAAGTCTCTCCATAGTCACACTTGTGCTTATGTAAAAAAAAATCTCAGTTTTGCCCCGTTGTTCACAATGAGTCGTGCTGACATGCAACAGATTTACCTATTGTTATTCCTCTTCCCATCTCCTGTCATCTGGTCTGCCTTTGGCTCTGGAACGTTTCACTAGCACTCAACCTGCTATCAGCAGTACTGCAAGCAGTTTTTTTTTTAGTTCAACAGACAAATACTTTCAAAGGTGTTTGCCTTTTCGCAGCTTCTTAGCGCTCTGCTGGTTGTAGAAATACCGGTGTGGTGTTTTTTATTATTCAAGAAGTCTGCGTATGTATTTTAGATTTAGTAGCCGCTGTTATAACTGAGCATCTCAGCTGAGAGGCCCTCATCTTTCTGTTCAAGATTCCTTCGGCTTGACAAGAAGGAAATTAATACAGACAAACAGAAGATTACCCATTAGGAGAGCCGAAACACGTAGGCTGGAAGTCAGTGGGGTTTGTAAATCGAAAGAGGGGATAACGTCAGATTAGTAGGTAGGAAGGTTATCAGCTGCTGGTTACAAGGCCGTTGTAACCAAGGTATTGGTAACGGAAGGCATGACCAGCTGAGGCAAAGAGGAATTGGACTTGCAGTGTGTTGTGGTGGTGGAAGCCCAGCACAGCAGGGAAGAGGGCTGGACGGGAAGGGAGGATCCCGTGATTTGATTCTCCTAACAGCAGAAGTTTTCATTAAAAGTTTACTCTGGAGTTTCTCCTCTTACAAGCTGTTCGACATCTTTGAAGCAGAACTACCTTTGGTTGACCTGTGTCAGGCCAAGTAGTTAAAGAGCAGTTAAGGACACATTTAGGTGTATTGTGAAGTAGTAAAACTAGCCTGGGCAAAGTACTAGAATTTATAATGGCTGAAACACAATAAAAAGGGATCGGCTAGATGATTAACTGTATGTTATCTTCCTCTTCCTTCTGTGCTTCAGTGTTTTATTCTGTATACCTGGTATTCTTTCAAAACATGAAATACTTCTAAGATGATCCATCAGGTGATGAATTGGTTCAGCTGCCCTGGGTGCAGCACGTCCCAAACTCAGGCGTGCTGCCCTCCTCCCTACATCCACAGCTCGGAAGGGGATGGGGGAGAACTGCCTCAGAGAATTGCAGCAAAGGCTCGTTTGTCAAAGACACGGGATACACTCTGTCTAAGGAGTCATGAAGCAAGCCAGGATCTTTTAGCATACTACATGAACACAGTAAAAACTGGATTGAGAACCATGTGCACTTCAGTAGAAAACTGCCCAAAGGAGGATTATGAAAGAGGCCTGATATTTTAGAAGTTTGAAAAGATGGAATTAATTCAATTTTTTGTCATTAAACGTGAACCCTGCACATGAAAGATTAGAGTGCTGTGTCATCTGCCACTAACACACCGAATTAACTGAAGACTGGCTTGGCTACTGTATGCATATGGCAGGATTAAAAATGCTTGAAAATATTTTGTCCTATCCTCAAAAAATGCAGAGTTGCCGTTAAAAGATATTTTTAAAGCATAATTCCAATGTACACTGTAGCAAATTTTAGGTTAATAATCTTCTATGTAACAGAATGAAAAGCCAGCATTTCTTGAAACTGCAAAATTGGTGGCCGGGATATGGATCTCTATGGAGCATATCGTAGGATCAGCACCAGAAAAGGCAGCTGCCCGTCATTTCATTTAGTGAAAAAGTTTACCCTTTGACTGTAAAGCAACCCAGGTTCTGGCAGTAGCATTTCAAAGGTCTGCTGAAATCTAAGCTGTCAGTTTCTTTCATCTTCTACGTTTTTTTATTTCTTCTATTTTCATCCCTTTTCTTGCTTTTCCAGTAGTTTTTGACGAGAGATACAATTTACTTCTGTGTATTGCTGCTACCTTATTTCTTTATAAAGGGTATTTTGTGCTGTTTGGCCTCTGTTAAAGCTTTAGTTACATCTTGATGGGGGCAATATACTTGAACCATTCAATCTAAGGAAGAGGTTTCAAAGGGGAATGCACCAGGTATTCTGCTAAATTTCTTTCTACTATTAATCCCTGGCTGCAATATTCGTGTAGTTAAGGCAGAATGAAACTGGCGTGGGTTAAGAGACCTCATTTTGCTGTAACCCCTGAAGGTTATAGATCGTGGATCACACTGCCAATTTAGACCCACCTTGCTGCTGGCTCCAGCTCTGTTTGCTGCAGAAGGTAAATAATCTGCCTTCAACAGCAAGTTGTTGCACAGGAACCAACTGAAGGGGCTCGACCCGGTGCATGGAGAGAAGGATTGCCACTGTCGTGAGGTGTTCGAGCGCCCAGAATTTGTTGGGTGAAATCATGGTTGTGTGGCTTGTACCTCTCCTGAGCTGAATGTCTGAACACTCTGGAACAGCAAGGCCAGAACAAGACAGAATCATTTTTGCTGTGTAGGAGTCCCAGTTCCTTGGTAGGGGGTCACAGTTCCTAGGTTTGCCATGAAAGACACGTGCATCCTAACATCCAGGTTGTGCTCAGCGAGCACCATCGTATGTTACTTCATATTTTGCTTTTATTTTCAGCAAGACTAGGCTATCTACTATTTCTCACAGGACCCACTACTGAATTCAGTGCAGGAAGGAAAATAAAGGAGTTACTGATGCTCTCGTAGTTTTATGTGGGGGAAGCTGATGCTTTCACTTATAAATAACTTTTCTAATGAGCTCGGCAAATGTGATGGGGTTCTAGAATCGATTTAGGTGGCTACTGTTTTCTCAGAGTGGGTTTATTGACCGATTGGTATGAATAAAAAAAATTTATCCTATAATTTGTGATCTAATCAAACCGATCAGGACAGGCGTTGGTAATGTGAACAATCTGGTATATTCTCTGCTAATTAAATGACAGGTTTTGAAACAGAAAAGTAATAATTTTGCTCTTGGTCATTCATATTAGAAATTAACCTCTCTTTGTTCCTAGGACTTGGAAGAATTTTGCTTCAGATTTTGCATAAACCATTTAACTGTTGTTACACAAACTCAAGGCTTTGCAGAAATGGACCACGACCTCCTGAAAAACTTCATTAGCAAAGCAAGCAGAGTGGGAGCGTTCCGAAACTGAGGTCTGACTACTGCCAAGCTGAAGAGCACATCCTTGCCCCTCCTGGAAATACCTCTCCTTTGGAGAACTTACCCCTGGTCAGAATGTGCAAAGGTTTGGAAAGAAAGACTGGGTGTCCATCAGTTTAGGAAATGTGTAAAAGTCTGCTAACGTACAGGTTTTTATAAAGATGGCTACAGTGTAGATGTACGGTGAGAGTTCACTGCCAACAGTCAGAATTTTAACAGCAAAAGTCAAATGCAGAGAACTACATTTTCCCACTTAAAAGTCAAGCAAACATCATTATCTTGCCTGTCTGGTTTGAGGTTTTTTTTTTGGTTTGGTTTGGTTTTTTTATTAGACAACCTGCATTTGGATTTTATGGGACAGTGAGCTGTTTGCTGCTAAAACTTTTGTCACCCAACTAAGTTAACATGCCGTAGTGGGCTGCTTTGTGCCTGGTTTATCATCTGGTGAAGATACAAACTTGGTTTTCTGAACATATGATAAGGTAGTAAATTCTTTAGGATGAGAGGCTTTCTGATTGGTAGGAGGATACGTCTCACTTGGTCATTATTTGGAGTGTAAATATGTAAACCCTGGATATTACAGTTTTGAGTTCCTGGCACTTACATCCATTGTTCTAGACAGAATGAAAAAAATCTTCCTTTCCATTACGCCAAGCACGTTCTCTGGCACCCCAGCGGGCCAGGAAGCATTCACAGTAGTTGTCTGGATGTGAATTACTGCGCTGTGTGCTCTGGTACTCAGAAAACCATCTGGTTGCTTGTTACCAAACCCAAACAAAATCTCAAGGAAAGGGAAATTCCAGTTGAGGTTTGTTTATTCATGTTTTGCTGTCTATCTCCAGATAGATTCTCTTAAGAAAAATGGAGGGAAAAATACAGTTTTGAAGCGATAAAAATGGGTCTTACAATTAAATCTGAATTTTCCACATTATTTTCCACGTAGCAATAAGGACACCTTGTCCAAATGCGTTGTTGCAGGTTCTCCTTTGGTCAGTGCTATGAGGTGACCATACCACTTACCTTACATGCCTGGTTTAGGTGAGAGGAGTTTGCCCTCATCATGGACCATGGAGGGGACCGGCTGGCTAAGGTGGAGTAGATGCTTAATTTCTGACTGACTGAGGTGAGTTAAGATGAAACCCCACCCCGTGTTGCACAGAGGGAGGTTTGCCCCGTTACAGAGGATGCTGAGCTCATGAAGCATTTACTTGAATTTTCTAATCGGCAGCTGTGAATTAACCCTGAGAAATTCTTTCTCTTAAAATTTTGGCTGGGTGAAGTGGCTTTAAGTGCCTTTCGTAGCATTTTTATAACTGGAGAAGGCAAGGGGCTGGATGACCAGGCTCAGTCCACTAATAGTCACGCAGCCTTCCTTCAGATCCTCGCTGCGCTACAGAATCCTTCGATGACTTTTTCTAAATCCTCAAATGCGGTTTCTAAAAGAACCTAATCCCCTTAAACCATCACAGCCTCATTTCCACATTTCTAAAGTAGAAATAACTGTTCTTTGTTACATTGGGGGATCACTCCTCAAACAGTTCTGTTCCTCGGGGAGGAAAGGGAGCAGCACTTCCTCAGAGAAGCAGTGAGTGGTGCCTCTCTTCACATCGGCCCCTGGGAGTGCGCGTGGAAGGGCGAGGCACGCAGAGTTTACTTAGGAAGAGGGCCGTAAGCAAATTAGTTTGGAAAATGCTGTGGTTAAAAAAAAAAGGTCTTGTGCTTGAGGCACCTGCCTCAGGCGCTCACTAGAAATACATTGGATCACCTGCTGCTGCCAAGCGTGCTCTGCCACCCCCCGGGTGATTGGTACACCTTCCCCCAGCAGCTGAGTCTTGGGGTCGCGCCGGCCTTCCCGAGGAACGTACGGTAACGGGCCTCTCCAAACGTTTCTGTCGTTTTACTTAAAAGAACCAAACGGAAACCGGAAATGAGAAATGCCTGCTTTTAACTGAAGGTCTGGTCGCAGAGGTTCTCTGCTCGGTGGCAAGCCCGGCTCCCTGGAGACACCCCTCCACGGAGCGGCAGCGCCGGCGTGCGACACCGCTCTCCTGAGCTGGCTCGGGGTGGGAACACAGTTCCCCAGCTGCTGCTGGCACAAGGGCATGCTCTCTCTCCTAGCACCGCTTTTTTTGCCTCGATATAACCAGCGGAGCCCTTTTTTCCCCAATCTATTTCCTTCCTGCTCATAATTTCCAACCTACCGCGCGCATTAAAACCTAGCTGCAATTTCAGAGTAATTGACACAGCCTGTAATTCTGAGGAGAAAGCAGCTCTGGCTCGAATGAGGGCGATTCTGAAGATCCAGTGCTGGCTTTGATTTCCTGCAGTATGTATCACCAGACCTGGATGTGATAGTATTACGTTCATAGAGACACTTATTTAATTTTTTAAACTTTCCTTGCATGCACTTTCCTTGGCACTTGAAGGTCAGTGTTTAAAAAAACATACTGGCTTAGGTGGTTAAATGTGAGTGGAGGTATGTGCTTGAAACCCAGTCGTGGGACACTTAAGCAGAAATTAGGGATGCATTTTACCATCGTGAGATGGTCTGCCACAAACTTACATTTATGGATCTTGCAGGTTAAATACTTAATACAGTATTTAAGGATGTAAGTATTGTTCTGGTTTAGGACACCCGAGGGGAAAAGGTATTTGTTAAAAAGTGAAAATAAGGTCAGGCATAAATTGTGTCTGGGGTTTAAGTACAGAGGAACGTTCCATTTTGCAGAAAGGGAAGCAGGTAGATAACTTCCTGAATCAAATGGAAGTTGAAAGAAAAAGAAATTAGAGGGATGGGGTCATTTAAGGGTTCTCTTCTGATAGGGAAGCTGAGAGCCAGCATTGCACTGTCACCTAGCACCCGCTGCTAGAGTTTCATTACAATGCCTGGTAACTGTGTAAACTGCTGGGTTTGCACAATCGGAACAATTTCCACGAGCTCTCCTTGTAAAACAAAGCGTTTACGTACCCCACAGAGACAGGACTCATTGGCTACCACCTAATGATGTAGAAGGTTTACAGCCCGAATATAAAATCATGTTTTCATTTCTTGTTTCTTTATAAACTTGCCTGGTTTCAGTAATAAAGACGCCGTAATATTTAAACAGGACGAGTGGGATTTTTTTTTCCTTTTCAGTAAAAGTGAAGAAAGTCTGACACTTGTAAACTGAGTTGACTATGAGGTTAGCGGTGTGGGGGGAAAAAAAAAGAGATAAACCAGAGATAATATTTCAGAGAGATATTTGAAAGACTGTTTGTGTTCTTTAGGAAATAACTGCCACAAGATAAAGTCTTTGCAAGCAGAATAAAAGGTGTGTAAAAAAAGAGCTGGAGAGTTTCCGTAAGTGTATTTCTACCTTTCAAATAAATGAACGCCCTGGTGACTTGGTGTTTAATAAAAGTGTCCTCAAAACCTCGAGAATTGTTTCTGAAGCGAATGTACGTTACCACCAGCTTGCTTGTTACTTTTTTTTTAAAATATTTCAAATGTGTGCTTTGCACCAGTGTCACAGAGTGCTTGTTACTTTTTTTTTAAAATATTTCAAATGTGTGCTTTGCACCAGTGTCACAGAGCCATCACCTTCTCCAGCTGTTTCACGTTTGACACAGGTACCTTCCAGCTGCCACACCTGTACCTGAAAGACAGGCGGTTCACCCATTCTGCGGCCCCTGAGAACAAACAGCATTTGGGAACGGGGCAGCACCAAGAGGTGACGGTGTAAAACCGCGAGTAAAGAGGCTGGGCCTCAGCTCAGCTGCCTCGAGATGGCTACGGAGCCAAGCCGCCAGACTGAAATCCTCCCCTGAGCAGCAAAGGGGAGGAACTGGCCTCTCCGAGACGCCGCGCGCTCGAGCCCGTTTCACAGGTACAGCTTAGGTAGGGACGGGCTCTCTCCACAGATGTATTTCTCCACTGGGATTAGATGAGTTTGATCCGTGGGGCGTTCCTTACCATTAGGCACCTGGAACGCCCAGCCCGTTTTCTCTAAATTCTCTTTTTTTCCCCAAACAGTTTCAATATCCTAGCCCGACGAGGCCTCTATAAGAAAAGCCGCCTTGCTCTACGAAAAGTACTCTCAGACAGAGAAAGATTTCCCAAATCTGATCCAAAGCCGTTACTTCCAATCCACGTTTATTTGCGCATCTCTCTTGCTTAAAAAAATAAGACACTTGGGAATGTGTTTTCAGAGGGGTGAGGGACGGGCCAGCACGCCAAGCCTCGTCGGGAACGCTGCCGCCAGGAACGGCGCCGTGTGCCGGGCTCCTGCCGTCCCCTGGCCAGCGGCTCCGCAAGGAAAACGCGTCGATGAGGAAAAAGGGGGGGACACACACACACACAGACACACACACAGACACACAGACACACACACAGACACACACACACACACACACACACACAGACACACACACACACACACACAGACACACACAGACACACGCAGACACACACAGACACACACAGACACACACAGACACACACACAGACACACACACAGACACACACAGACACAGACACACACAGACACACACACAGACACACACACAGACACACACACAGACACACACACAGACACACACACACAGACACACACAGACACACACAGACACAGACACACACACAGACACACACACACACACAGACACACACACACACAGACACACACACACACAGACACACACACAGACACACACACACACACACAGACACACACAGACACACACACACACAGACACAGACACAGACACACACAGACACACACACACACACACAGACACAGACACACACAGACACACACACAGACACACACACAGACACACACACACACACACAGACACAGACACACACAGACACACACAGACACACACACACACAGACACACACACACACAGACACACACACACACACACAGACACACACACGACGGGAACGCTGCTACACGCGGACACCAACCTCTCCCAAAGGGGAGCTGCCCTCGAGCCGGCCCGGCGGCTGCCGCCAAGGTGGGAGGGGGGGGGGGACGACGACCCTGGAACAACATTTCCAGAACGTTCTCTGGCAATTTCTGAAGGGTTAACTCCCAACGGTGGCAAAACTATTCGGAGCTCTGCGCCCAGAGGGAGCCGCTGGAGATGGAGCTGCTTGCACCAGCTGCAGCATCACGGAAGCGGAGGACATCGTTCACCATCTGACATCACCACCTCGATCTAATAAAATAAAGGCACCAACTAGAAATCTTTTAAAAGCTATTTTATTTATCTTGGAGGGAGAGAAACGGATTAGTCGTATAAAATGTCATATATTTGATGGAAAGCCTTCAGTCGGTTTGAACAAAAGAAAAAAAACCACCATTGTCACAGTAAAGAAATAACGAATCTGCTCAGGTACTGGACTCTTATATCACCCCTCCGACCAACGGATCAGGGAACAACTTCAACTGCTGGAGCAGAGCTTGTGGTCAGCGTAGCCCAGTGTTAACCTGTTTTTTTCTCTGTAAAACTCTGCAAAAAGTGAGAAAATAAACACTAGGTACTCTTAACGCTTCTGAACGTTCTTCAGGGAGAAAGCTGAAGCCGTGTTGAGACTAAAAAAATAATTTTATTTTAAAATTCATGGACAAAGCGGTGTGCTGCTCAGAGGATTTTTAGTAGCTCCAGGATTAGCTTCCCGTTCAACACAAGGACTTCTCTTTAAAATGTACTGCCGTAAGTATTCTGGGATCAGCTAAACAACTGCTAAATAAGCTACCCGGAGAAGATGTGGTTTTAAAATGTTTGGGTAATGAACAGCATGTTTTTCTACTATAACTTTTAAATTAAGTAGCTGCAAAAGCTGAATTTCATAAAAATTGGTAATTTTAAAGCAAGAGTTCATTTATTTACTTAATCCACTGGAAGTAAAACACGTGCTTTCCTTAGCTGGCTGTTTTGCTACATCATTGCAAGAAAAAAAAAAAAACCAGTATCTGAATCAGTAACTTCCAAAGACGTAAGATGAAAAAAGTTTTGGGTGGGTTTGGTTTTTTTAGGGATTTTTTTTTTTTTTTGGTTGGTTGTTTTTTTTTTTTTTTTTTTTTTTTTTGCTAGTTGCAACAGTTCCCAAGTTGCCCGTTAAACTCTGCCTCCCCAGTAAGAGGCGGCAGACTGATTTTCCCAGCATCGGGCCGTTACGTTTGGCTTTGGTGCAGGCGCTGCAGCGAGGCCGACGGGAGATGCCCTGTGCCCTTACACACCTGGAGACCCTCCGCCTTCAGCTGTAGCAAAGAGCCTGCTCCTCAAGCTCGTTGGCCTGGCTACAGTGAGGTGAACATTTGAAGAAATAACAAAAATTCTACATCATTAGAATTTTAAAATATGTGTACCAGGCTGGATTAAGGTTTGGAGTGCTTTTTTTTTTTTTTTTTTTCAAAATATTTTTTTTCTTTTCTTTAAATAATTGAGATTTTCCAAGATCAGAAAGTGCACATCAAGTACTCTGCATATGGGAAGAAGCTTCAGCTTCCAGGAAGATTTTCTGTGGGATTCACATTCCGTGAAATTCAAACTGATAGAAGTGCCCTCTGAGATTACCACTGGGGCAAGAACCGGGGAAGGAAAACGACAAAACACTTAATTATTGGTTTCAGTAGTACGGCTACAGAATGAGCTCACTTTGAAATCCGGTTGTAGTTCTCAGGTGAGGCCCTGACTCTGCACGGCCTGTGACCGCCGTGCAGTTTAAGTTAATGGGAATTCGATGTGCTAGTTACATACAGAGACAGAAATCTTTGCAGTGTCTGGCCCCTCATTTTCAAAATTGGCAAGTAATGAAAATCTAAAAATCTAAGAAACAGAATTAGTGCATTTCAAATCATTCTCGCTAACATTTTGTCTTTAGACAGAGAAATTCAATCCAAGTAGACTGAATTGGCTTAAATCAGTAATGCTGCAATAGGAAACTAAGACCCTTTCCAAGTCTGTTTTTAAAATCCTCAAAAAAATATATAAATTAAATTCAGTGGCTTACATTGTATATATGCTACATCGTAAGGCAAAGTATCATGAAAAACATTTAAAAATTTTAAAAGTCCAAATCCTTTCAGCTAGCAGTTTGGAATAAAAAGCAACTAAAAAAGCAACGCAATTAATGAAGGCTGTAAAACAAAAACAAATCTAAGAGGGCCTGCGGTGCAGCCCTTGGTCCTGAGTAGAATCTCACTTTTCTTCACTGGCTGAGGTATCATTTCCATCATTCAGTTTCTGCTTTTGCATTCTTGTTCGAGTCGATGCTAAAAAAAAAAAAAAAAACAAAAAAAAACCAAAAACAAACAAAACAAACACAAAACCACAAACAAAACAAAACAAAAAGAATGAAATTAATCCTTTCTGACTTCCTTCAGCATTCCTTTGGGCGCGTATTGTAAAAATCTGCGATGGCACCAAGGAGTGGAAGGTGCACACCATCCTACGGAAAACAGATCCCTCAGTTTTAACAATCGAGGCGTTAACGCTCGGGTTGCTTCAGCGGCTCTTGCTCAGGCCCACGCGCCCTGGGAAGTTGGCTGGGGAGTTGGCTGCCCCCCCGGCCGTGGGGCAGACCCACGCGGGGCCGCGGCCTCGCTGCGGGGGGGCACGGGGCGGCACAGCCCCTCCCCACCGCTGCCCCGGGGGGAAACGCTGCGCGATTCCTCCCACCCCGGGGAGAGACCCCGAGGTCCCTGGATCTGCACAGGGAGCCACCCGGACGGGCAGACGCTTTGCTAGGCAAGAATTTGTAACGAGCAAACCCGCCCGAAGCTACAGAGCTCCGATTCCACCCGGGGGGGGGGGGGAAGCTGGTGGGGCCAAAGCGTGCTGCTTCTCGGGAGGGGGGAAGCACAGCTCGGATGTGGCGGTGGGGCCGGTTTGCTTTTCAAACCCGAGTTTCACTTGGGAAACACAAAGCGATCCCGTAAAAATCTGAAAAAAAAACCACCGAGCCGCAGGGAAGACTCTCAGCAGTCCCGGGCATTTTAGCATGAAAGGCAGGAAAGCAACGTAGAAATTACACGCAATTTTCCTGCGTGGATAGTTTTCCTTTACTGCCCTGTCAACACCTAAAAAGGTGTTCCAGTCAACGGAACGCTGC